GGATGCGCTGTAAATTAGCTATAAGATGAAATTCCAGGTTCTCAGGCACTTCCAAGCACCATTACTACTCCAATTATGTTCACAAACCTTCTGCTGAAAGCAGAAGTGGAAGAAACCACTCTGCTTTCTTCCTTGCCCAAGACTTCCTGTCCTTTGGTATTGTTTCAGCTTCTCATTTTGAACTCTGTGCCTGAAATGGTCACTCTTAGTTCCTTTTGTTGTTATTTGGGACAGGCTGTCCCTGTCTCAACCAGGCTGACCTTGAACTCATGGCCCAGCCTTCCAAGAGCTGAGATTTCAGAAGAGCACCATTGTGCCTGACAAAAAATATGGAACATTTCACAGATTTGTGTGTCAACCTTGCACAGGGGCCATATTAATCACTGTATTGTTTATATTTTAGTCTAAGTGCTGCTGAAACAAGCACCCAGCTCTAAAGTTTTCCTCTTCCATAAATTCTTCGGGATCCACTTCAACCCTCGGTGCCTTCTCCTTTGGTGAACTCCCCGCAGCCCTCACTGTGGGAAAGCTTTTCTCCCTGGTGTCTCTCGTTTCTGCAGGTCCACTGAGCAGAAGCACCGACTGCCTTTGTTCTAGATGACCTTTCCCCCTGGTGCTGGGATACTAATGGTTTTGGAAGACAGATAATTTCTCTCTAGAGCAAAGGGCAGGTTTGTTTGCTGTCTGATATAGCAACCCTGTGTCTCTCCTGGGCAGAGGCTCACTGCCCTTATAAAAGTTCCCAAGTTCAGATTCTGCTCCTATAATCCAGCACTTTGCATAGGTTCTTTGCATGGTTCCTGTGACTCCTGCTTCTGCTGTGCACAACAGTCCTTTGTCTTTGACTCTTTGTGTGTTCTGCCAGCTCCCATGAAACTTCAGCAGCTGAGCTGTTAGCTTGCAAGCAGGATACGAAGCTCAGCCCCTTCACAGTTGTGACAATTATTATTATTTGGTTACTGTACACTTAACCTTTTATTCATAGCAATCTACTGTTTTTCTCCCTATTTTCCTTTTCATGGGTTTGAGGAAAAAGTGGGTCATTTTTTTTCCTGCAGAATGTTCCCCATGCTGGGTTGAGCTGACTGCTTCCTGTGATGTCCTTTGCCTTGTTCCTCTATCACGTTTGTCCTTCCAAAGTAATTTCCACATTTGTCCTTCTGCTTTCAATTACACACCCTCTCTAGACCTCTCTTGAATTGGACTTTCACAAATATTTATTTCTGGTCTTTGTTAGTACATCTAAATTTCTTACGGACAATCTTTGTTTTGCCTTAAAAAATCTCCATGGTTCCTAGGGAACACTGTGACTAGGAACAGCATTTGTGAACGAATGTGCTCTGGATGAAAGATTAAACCGAGTCTGATGGGGGTGGGGTGGGGTGGGGTCGTCTTTTTCATAGTTCCCACCAGAGGGCGCATTCCGCTTTAGATTTACAACGTTCCAAAGTCCAGGATCTCTGTACTGGGCCAAATCAAGAGTACCAGCGCTGTGAAATAGTAGCTAACTGCATTAGTAAAGGTAAAAAAAAAAAAAAAAAAGAAAAGAAAAGAAAAGAAAAGAAAAAGAAAAGAAAGAAAGAAAGAAAAAAGAAAGACAATAGAGCATTTAGTCACAGTTCATCCTGTGCAGATGTTCTGATCGAGAGAATTGAGATCTCTTTGACCATGAGTTCACCGTTACTGCATTCCAGCCTACTAGGTAGTGAGCTGGATGGTATTGTACCAGATGCAGTCAGTTTTGAAACTTCCTACTTTCCTAGGTAACCACGACTTTTTTGGGTCACATGCAGTTTGAGCTAGCCACTTTGACTAGCAAGATAAACATGGTAGATTCGACAGACACAGTTTCTGCGTTTTGCTCCAAAGTTGCTCACACTGTGGTCGGTGGGAGGCTGTGTTTCAGTCCCCACTAGCAAGTCTGGGTTAAATCCGCACAAGGCCTGCTGGTTTCCTTGAAAAGTGCTTTAAGAGCAGAACCTGTCAAGAAGGCCGAAGCCGTGCAGCGCACTCCATTTCCTGCCTTTAGGGACAGCTTTGGGTGCGGGGTCCCTGTGCTTTTTGCTTCGCGAGTGCAGAGGGTGGTTGTTGACTGTGTCTCACTTTCGATGTGAAACACTTTGAGGACACACTCTCGGGGTGTCCCAGGCGTTCCTCGGCGGAGTTGGGGTGGGGGGCAGGGCTTTGTCTCATTCGCCTGTCAGCGGCTCTGAGCTCAGCCCGATGCGGCTAAGCAGACAGTGCTCAGCAAATCCACGCACCGAGCTGCACAGTCGCGCGCAGTGCCTAAGAGCGCAGATCGCACGCACTGCTCCGGCTCGCGCTGGCCAGGCCTCGCCTCAGGATCCCAGCAGGGGGAGCGTCGCGCCTCTGCTCACCTTACCTCGGGGCTGAGCTCCGGGCTTCCCTGCCCGGGTCCTCACAGCCCTCGCTGGGGCACCAAGCTCTGGGTGACACCTGCTCCTTTCACCCCATGACGCCCCTCGACGCCGTAGGCCGGAACCCCAGGGAGTCCCGGAAACGTCTCGCCTGTCGTGGAGCAGCCGGCAGAGCCGGTCCAGGCACGTTGGCCTGTTTGGAAGTTAGGGCGGCGCTGAGCTCCTCCTGGAGGGGTCTTTTCCCTCGGCCAGCGCTTCTCCGGTGGAGAGAGAGCGACCAGAGCCTCACGGCTTCGGCGCAGGGTTTCTATGGGCGGCTAAAGAACAGCCACAGAGAGATTCTGGGTCCCTCTCCCCTCGCCTCCCATCCTGCGCCTCTCGGTCTCGAGGATCAGACAGACGAGGGACACGGGTTTCAGAAACCACCCGGGGCTTGTAAATCTGTGAGGCGGCGCGGGGCTCCCATCTGTCATTCTGACCCGGGCCCGCGCTGGCCGCCAGGTCGCGCTGTGGGACCGGAGATCCGAGGCCGGAGCCGCCGGGAACCCGGGACTCCAGGGGGGACGAGGTGCGAGAGGGAGAGCAGCGCGGAGAGGGAAGCGGACCGTGAGGAACGGGAGGCGCAGGCAACAGCCAGACGGAATCAATACAATAAATACGTGCAGCTCTCTCCACAGAGACACCGGCAACTTAACGCGACCCCAAAGCGCCCCAGACGCGTTAAGATCCGGACGCACCCGAAAGGCGCTGGGCGGAAGGGGATCCCACGGTCTCCACAGCCTCCGCACTTTGCATCCAACCAAAGGCTGGGGAGACCAAAACCTGCGGACGTGGCCGAGGCGGGGAGCCCCGCGGTGCATTTGGAGAGCGTGTGACCCCCTCTCCCCTTCAACGAGGGCGCTGGGAGGGTTTGGGGACGTGCATACCGGGCTCCCCGAGCCCTGTCTCCCCTCCTCTACCTTCTCTCAACACGGAGTTGTGAGCAGGGATCATTTTGCGCCAGCAGGGCGTCTACAGCTGTGTTGGGTGCGTTCCCCACCCGTATTTGCCGACGTTATTCCAGGTGCTTTGTGTTTAGTTTGTGAGCAGAATACGTAGCCCAAGGGACGCCCCCACGCGGCCCCAGCTTGGCTCCGGGCTGAAGCGCCCTGCGCCCTCGGGACAGACGCCTGAGCCGCTCGGTCTGTGGCCCCAGCCTGCGGAGCTCGAGAGGGCCTGGGCTGCGGGAGGGGGGACGCGTCAGGGGAGCACCTCCGCGAGACACACACACACACACACACACACACACACACACACACACACACACACACACACCATCTGGATGAAGAAACGCGACCCACCAGGCAGCCTGACCTGGCTCTTTCTGTAGACGGCGAGTGTCTGGCTCCCCAGGGCTTCCTCTGTACCCTGCAGCCCCATGGCCAGGACTTTGCTCCCGAGACCCTGCCGCCACCGCCCGAGTGCGTGGACTGCGCTGCGAGGGCCCCTCGGTCTGTGGGTGTCACTTGGGGTGAGGTGACGGGGGGGGTGCTCCCCACAGGTTCCGGATAGATGTTCACTAGTACCGGGCCACGTCACTGGTCACTGCCCGCCCACGGGGGCAGTGTGGCCCCCGTCGGGTAGCCATCCTCAGGACAAGCGCTCTGGGCAAGGTCGGACCTCTGGACCAGAGGATCGGATTGGGCGTGGACGCTGTGCACTGGGTCAGCTCTTTGTGCACTCTGCCGGCCGCGCATCGAGTGGGCTGCGCGGGGTGGGGGTGGGAGAGAGAATCACGTGGAGAAGCGGCCACAGCTTCTACTATTAGGGGCTGCCCCCTCCCGCCCTGTCCCTCCCTGGCAGCCCCACACTTGCAGGGACCCAAGGCTCCGGAGGCCAAGGCGCAGGCCTGGGGGTGGGGGGCGACACAAACATCAGCAGTCAGAGCCTCTCAGACACTCTTCTCGGGCCATGGTGTGACTGCTAGCTTGCAGTGTGCCCTGTGCCAGGCACAACGTGGCAGCCTTCAGGGCCAAACTCCCCGCTCAGGGCTAGGGGTGCGCGCGGGGGGGGGGGGGCTGTGTAAAAAGGGGCCAGGGTTTGCTCTAACTGGACTAAGAATTTCAGGGTGGATGGACCTCATTCCCGAGTGGCTCTAGGCTCTGAGGACCCCCGAGGCTCCACAGCTCCCCTTTCCCTCCCTCTTGAGTCCCGGAAGCTCCCAGAGTCCTTCGCTGAGCTCCCGGGGTGACAGCCGGGGAAGGTCACCCCGGCTCTGAGCCCGCGGGCTGCCTGCAGTCGGGACAGCCGGCAGCTTGCTTCTCGCGTTTAGTTCATGGAAACCCCAGAGATCAGTTTAAGCTCACCCAGGACCGGGGGAGGGAGGTAGGGGCAGGAAGATGGGGAGGAGGGGGTGGGGTAGAGCGGGGGTAAATGGGTTAGGCGTCCTGCAGTTCTGAAAACGCGAAGCCCTCCTCTTTCCCATTGTTCTTTTTTTTTTTTTTTTTTGACCGGGGGATCGAACTCGGGTCTTTGAGCTTGCGTAGCAGGCAGCGAAAACACTGAGCTAAATCCCCTGCCCTTTCCCATTGTTCTTAATCTAGAAAAATACAGGAACGCTCCAGGCCTGCCTGTGTTCTCACAGCTAACCCCCACCCCCCGGGAGCAGACCTCACCCTTGGCAGCCTTCCACCTTCCGGAAGCTTCCTAGCCGAGTCATCTGGGTCCGGACCAGCCTTTTCTTAAGGCGCCGGCCCGGCCTCTGCGCACTCGGCAGCTGCAGAAGCCCCGTGTCTGCGCTGCTCCTCCAACCCCTCCTCGGTCACCTTCCCACTGCCGCCCGCGTTCCGGCCGCGGGGACGCCCGGCGCGAGGGTCACCGAGCACTCTGCCTCCCCTTCTCTGCCGCCCGGTCTCTGCCTACCTAGGTAAGCCTGGTTTCCTTGGATTTTCCTCTATCCTGTCCTCCTCGAAGACAACTCGGCAAAACTTGCTTCCAGCTAAGGATCTTGTAGATGGCTGTATGGGGGAGTGTGAGATACCGGCCTGGCCCACGGGGATTTGCGATTTATCCAGGGTTTTGGAGAGAGGGAAGGAAATATAGCTGTTCTTAAAAGCGGATACAGGACGGCCGTGCGCGCACTCAGCCTCTTGCTCAATGTTTGACGGAGGTTGTTGGTGTACAGATGACAATGCCGCGTACCCCGTATCCGGAGCAGTGGCGTTGAACTCTAGGACCCCGAGGACACGGCTTTGCGGGTCTCGGAGACGGGTGTTGGGGACGCGCGGCGCGGGGTCCTTGGAGTCGCCAGTGCAGCTCAGCACCGCCCCCCCCAGGCTTCGGCGAGGTCTCCGTGGCCTCTGCCGTCTCGAATCCTACAGTTCAAGGACCACAGAGCGCCGAGGGCCGGTCCGTTTGCTACGCGGGGACCTGGGACCCCGGAATTGAAACAAACCCAAACCTAGCGTCCTCGGCAACCCTGAGGGCGACCCCCTCCACATCGGACTCCGCAGACTTATAAAGAATGCTGGTGTGGGGTGGGACAGGACCGAAATGGGCGGTAAGCTCTCCTGGGCTGACCTAGGTCAAGGTCGCTGCGGCTAGGGCAGCAGGTGGGAGACAGGGGACACCCGCGTGTACGCGTGTGCGAGCTGTTTATATGACTTCCTCTACGTGAACTGGGCGGTTCAGAGATCGACCTGTGTTAGCAGGGACGGGACAGGGTGCGTGGTCCCCAGGGACCTGTTCTTGAATCTCTGCCATTGCCATTCATGGGGGGGGGGGGTTTACAATAACTTGTAATGCTCTTTTTATTACCAAGAGTTTTTATCAAAAATATTTTCAGTAAACAGACAAGGCTGTTTTTCCTCTCCTATTCCCTTGTGCCTTTTTATGTTGTATTTCAGAGTTGTTACCTTCATCTTTATTTCGGGTTTCAGCTGGGCCTTTCATAATTCTGGGTAACCCATTTCCGACCTGGAAGACCTGCATATTCGCAGGTCGAAATTTTCCATCTAAAATGAAGGAAACGGAGAGTAAAGAGGTTTATTATGCCTTTCCAAATTACTCTGAGACCAGTAAAGCGCAGTTACCCGAAGAGATCACCAGCAAGAAAAAGCAGCCAAATGAAACCCTGGCCGGAGAGAGGCCGGCGGTTGAGTGGGGGGTGAGATGACCCAGGCAGCGTCACCCAGCAGGGTACAGGGGCGTGGGGCTGTCAGCCCGTCCTGGAGGCTGAAGAACCGGGTCAGGGGACCCAGCATCCCCCTCCCAACCTGAGCTCCCCCTCCTGGCTGCGCCGGCCCGGTCTTCCGTGGCCCCACGGTCCCGTCACGTGCTGGCCGGCGGTGTGGCCCGCCCTGTCCTGTCCGTGCTCCGGGTCTGCCCGGCTCAGCTGCCGGCCGGTGACGAAGGCCCCGCTTCCTCCCGCAGCCCCTCCGAGCGCCGCAGCGCAGAGTCAGCAGCATGCGGACCGGGCTCCCCCCGGCGCTCGCCGCCCTGGGCGCGGCCCTGCTCCTGTCGGCCGTCGAGGCGGAAGGTAAAGGCTCCTCCTCCCTCCCCACCGCACTGCGGAGAGGGACGGGACCGCTCTGTCCTGCTCTGTCCCTGGCTCCTCCTGCTCCGCGCGCTCTCGCTCCTCCTCTGGGCTCTGTGTCCAGCGCTTCTGGCCCTTCCTGTCTCCTGCTTGGTCCTAAGTCCCGTGCAGCGCTGTCGTCCCCTTGTGCTTGTCCCTACGGTGTGCTGTCCACGACGCCACCCACGCAGACGCGGCCGAGGACCGACCGCCGGGAGGGTGACGGCTGCACCGGCGGCGACCTCTTTCGGGGACGCGCAGGAGAAAGAGCTCCCAGCCGCGCCTCTCCGGGCTCCAAGAGCTGCTGGGAAGGGCTACACAAGTGACCAGAGTCCCTGGGCCGCCTCTTCCCGGAAGAAGCGGAGCGACTGACCTCAGCTCCGGGTGGGCTGCAGATGGGTGTGGGCTCAGTAGACTTCGAAGTACTGTTGCTCACTTTGTTGTGCGCATTGGATGCCTCAGGTTCTCAGTATTCACGGGACCAGACTTTAACCCCACGGGAACATTTCTCAGTTTGCAGTGGAGACCAAACTAGTCTTATTACTCCGCAAGATAAATGCAATAATTTAATAAAAGATATCTCATTTAAAAAATTAAACCAGCTCCCAGTGAAGTGGAGGGAGAAACTTCTGCACGCACCACTGTAGAAGTTTCAGGGTGGCTGTGTTTTTATATACACGATGTAGGGCTGTTTCAGGACAACACTGACCTTTAAAAATTTGTTTTTTCTAGTTCAGAACTGCAGGTACAAACATCTGAGATTAGGAAAAGCAGAGTCTTCAGGAGGTATGGCGCAGTTAGAGAAGTGCAGTCCTACTGGCTGGGTCACTTGAGTATTCTGAGATCACAGTGGCTGCCCAGAGGGCTTTCTGTGCAGCGACCCTAGGTGAGGTGGTCTTTCTTAGTGGTTTACCAAAGTAAAAGACATAATTAAGGCAACAAACACCTTCCCCTACAGAGGAGGATCTACGAACACTGGCAAGGCAATGCCTTATGTCAGAGAGAAGATATTTGTGCCTAGTAAGCTTAGGAGAAGTCATGTACCAATTCCCATCACGGACGGGAAGTCATCAGACGCCTTCAGAGACCTTGCCATAAAGCGGGAACTCAGATGTTGAAATCTTTGCAGTTTTTGTGAAGGATGCAGTTTGCTCAGAGTTGGAAGCTATTGCCTCTCCTCCCACCAAGATCCATGTGTTCACAGTGGAAGACTTTGACGCTTTTCAGAGGATAACTTTCGAACTCACACTGTCTGTCTTAGAATTGAGCAAGAATTGGCAGCTATAAAGAAAGAAAACTTTAGTATAGTTTGTTAAGTAAAAGTTATCTCATCATGAACAAAGCCTTTTGATTCTAGCATTATGGAATAATATACTTTGTCAATTCTTTTTATATACAGAAAAAGTAACTTTCCTGTGTTACTGAAAACTGTTGAACTTAGTTTATTTGTTTCTGAGGTATGACTTTCTCCTGGGTATGGATCATTTCTTTGCTTCCCTATAAGAGTCACGAGCTAGTTTGCTCCTAGATCCTCCAGCAGGTCTGGAGCCAGCTTTATCACACCTATTTGTCGTAGCCAGTGACCACTTACTGAGTGTCTACTCTGTGCCAGAAATTGAGCTCTGCCCTTTGATCCAAAGGTGACCAGGACATAGTCTTGGGTCTTTGACTCTTCTTACGAGTTCCCTTTCCCGGTTCACTTTTGGGCATTGTTCCACACATCTGGAGTTCAGTCTTGACTGAACACTTAAACACATAGTCAATAATTCAAAACAAATGAAAAAAATTATTCTAGTCAAAACAATAGTGATCAAGAGTTTACTTCCAATAATCTTTGCAATCTGTTTTTACAAGTAGGTTTAAATAAAAGATTAAATGCCAGTTTGTAAGTACTGATAACCAGGAAAGTCTGGTTTTGCTATTAGCTGTGTGACCTTGATATCAACCTTGAGCCTCTGAGCTGCAGTTTTTCCATCCATAAAGAGGAGACCATCCTCCTCCCAGGGGTCATTCTGGAGATCAAATAGGAGAATGTAAGTGACATTGTTAGGGAACTGTAAAATACTACATGAATATAAAGTTTATCAAGAGGAAATAACTTACTAACTTTAGAACGGGTGCTGGGGAATAGAACTTTTGTCAATATTTTAGAGATAATTGAATGGCTGCATGAAATCGTTGCCAATAAGAGGCTGAAATGGGTCCTGAGGATTTAGCTCAGTCGTTCCGGCACCTGCCTTACAAGCACAATTTCCTGAGATCAATCCCCAGTACCAAAAAAAAAAAAAAAAAAGGCTGAAGTGGAAATTGCTTTAACTACTGAGACATACCCCAAATAATAAAAGCATGTAATCTTCTGGTTTTTTTTTTTT